GCCCGCCCTGCTCGCCATGGGCTCGGACCGCAGCAGGTCACCGCGGCGACCCGCCGCCGACGCGGACGAGGCTGTAGGTTGCCCGTTTTGGGGTGGGAGCGCAGGTGCAGGAGGGTGGACGGGCGATGGGGGGAGCGGGGGGTGGCGCGGAGTAGAGGCGGGCGCTCGACGTCCATAGCTTGCCCCCGCCACCCCGCGCCGCCCACATCCCTGTCCCCCCTCTGCACCGAGGGCACTGCCGCCAGCTCGCTCTCGCTTGCGAGCGCGTGGCACAGCGTCTGTGGCATCGAGGCCGATGCTGGGGGATGTGTAAATGGCTGGGTACCCCAACGGGTGGAGGGGTCGCGAGGACGCGCCGCTGTCCGCGGCCTGGGCCAGATGATGGCGCCCCGCCCACCAGTCCCCCAGGGCGGCGGCGCGACGGCGCGAAGCGAGTCGCATTGGGGCGGGGCGGGGGGGGCGGAGGGCGGGGGATGGGAGGGCGTCGGAGGCGGAGGCCGAAGGCGGAGGAGGCATCGGGGGAGGGGGGGAGGGAATGACGTGCATTCGGGCATGGCCTGAGGGCGCGTCCTCTTTCACGGACGCCTCGCCCGAGTCGGAGGCGGCGCCCGACGACGAGCCCGGCGCGAAGTCCGACGGCTCCGCCCAGTCCGACGGCCCCACCCCATCGGGTCCGACAGCATCGCCGACGCGAAGTCCGACGCAGCGCCCGACGGTTCCGACAGCATTGTCTCCGCGACTGAGTCGGCCGAACCCGAGCCCGACAGCCAGCCCGACAGCAAGCTCGACAGCATGGGCTCAGACAGAGTGTTCGAGACGATCCCCGACGGCGAGCCCGAGCCCATTCGCGATTTCGAGCACATCGATTTGAACAGGCCGCAACCATCAGGGCTGCGCGCCGCGCTCGCCGACAGCGCGCAGCCAGACTTCGGCGTCGCGGTGCTGCCCACCACCAGCAGCTCGGACAGTCCACTGCCCGACTGCGTCGAGAGCCCGCCCAGCGTGTTGGTGAGTTCTTTCAGACCCTTGCATGGACATCGCCGCTGCCCCGCATAGGCTGCAGCCATCCCGCTATGGCTTGCTACAGTTGCCGTTGCCGCTCAGCCCTCCTCCACCCGCTCGTTCCATGCAGTCGCCGCGCCTGCTGCGCACCGCTCAGCCTCCCCCATCAGCATTTTCGATCAGTTGCGCTTAGCCGTGGTATCGCTCGGACGTGTGCATGTTCTTCTCGGCGGGGGTTCTTAAGGGGCATCCTGGACCCCCCTGCGCGAAAAGACACGCATGAAACCGAACCGAACACAGGGAATGCACGCCCGAGCGATTGCCAGTAGCTCCAGTTCGCACTGTATAGCGGTATAGTAGTTCGGCACACTGGCCGTTGCGCGAGCCAGATTTGCGACCGACCGCCCGTTCGCCAGTGTTTTCTTGAGGGGGTTGTCGCCGTTGTCTTGATCCTCGGGCGCCTCACGTCGCGCGCGCGAAGCCAGGGGGAGGCCGTCGACACGCGCCCACCAGGGCCCCAAGGGAAAGCCCATCCCAGCCCCTCTGATTCGACTCGATCGGAGTTCAACGAGTCCGATTCCGATCCGATGCGACTTCGGGGCCGACGTCGGTCCAGAATTTTCAACGGGGCTTTATTTAGCTTAAACATTTCCGCTGATTCGATGGCTCCGATGTGGCTACCGATCCGTGCCGGCCATCTTGATAATCGGTCGCCGACCCGACTCGATCCAATTCTGGGCTTCCCAATACCTCTGCACATGCGACATCTCGGGCGCGCAGAGTCCAATGGGACATCCCTGGCAATGTCGATGCCCCCGAGGCTCCAAGGAGGCCAGCTGCAGGCCACGCGCTCCCCCGCCCGTCGCCCCCACCCTCTACTCTCCCCCATCCCATCGCCAGTGGGCATGTGAACACGCGCCTGGGAAGCGTTCGATGCGATTGTCTGCCTATCAGCAGTGGTCTTACACCGTGGCCCTCTGCGCCCCCATCCCCCGTGGTGTGTTGGGGTTGCAGCCGCATCGCGCGCCATCCCGCTTGCTGGCTTTCGTTGGTGACCCTTTTTCCGAATTCCCCGCCCTCGCGTGCGCCGCCAGCTCCCTGCGTCACCCTACCAACCACCACCGCCTTTCAATCGTGCTCCGCCCCCCCCGCCATGCCGCCCACTCCCTCCTCCCACCCGCTCCCGCCCCAGCGCATCCAGCAGCGCGAACGGAGGGCAACAACTCAGAACGCACACACACCACAAACACACCCACAACACTACACACACGCACGCATTAGCGCACGCACGCACGCATGCACGCACCGCACCCACGCACGCACCACGCCAGCAAGCCACACCACACACACACACTCACACACACACTCCGACTCCAGATCACACAGACAAACCACACCCTAAGACAAGCACAACACACACGGCACAGACGCACTAACCACTACACTCAAGCACACACACACTCACCACGCCGACCCACACATACACATTCACGATCACACACACACACACGCTCGCACCAACGGCACACAAGCCCACACATTACACGATACACACACTAAATCCACACACACACGCCCACGCGCGCGCGCACGCACGCACGCACGCACGCACGCTTCTCGCACCACACACTCTCGAACGCACGCACGCACGCACGCCCCCCCCCCCCGCCCTCCGTCCCACCGCCGCCGCCGCTGCGCCAGGCGCTGCTGGTCGTGTACCACGTCTACTCCTTCAACCGTTGGCAGATCCTGCTCCAGGAGCTGCCAGCTTCCTGGCCTCCTCCCCCCCATCCCTTCCACTCGCCAGCTCCACTCGCCCGCGTGCCAGCGCCCTCCCGCGCGCGCACAAAGCCCGTCCGCGCCCATCCCGCGCGCCCGCGTCCCGTTCCCAAGCCCACCGCGTCGGGCAAACGTGAACCATTTGGAGCGCTGGATCAACTCTCGGCAGCGGCCGCGGCACGCAGCGCGATCGACGCTGGATTACGGACGGGCAGCATTGAGCCAGCATTGCTACGGTCCCACGCCCACTTCCTTCCCGCACTCTCCGCACGCCCGTTTCGCGCACCCCCCCCCCCCCCCCCCTATCATCGCCATCGCAACTGCGCCAGGAGCAGTTGGTCTATTACCGTGTCTACTCCTTCAACCTGTGGCCGATCTTGTGCCAGGAGCTGCCGTGCCCTCGCCCACCTCGCCCCCGCCCCCCTCCATCCCCACCCCCCGCGCGTGCGCCAATGCCCGAGTGGTTTTCACGCGCGCGGTTGCGGCGTCGCTCCGCCCATTCGCGCGCCCCCGCGCAACTGCCCCTCCCACCTCCCGCCCTCGCGCAGCATTCGCCCCGCCTGGCCCGCGCGCCCACCGCTTGTGCCCGCGCCCAGCACCCTGGGCTCCCAGCGCGTCTGGCGAACGTGAGCCACCAGGGCATCGGAATCACCTCTCGGCAGCGGCAGTGGCACGTAGCGCGGATGACGCTTGTCTGCCCATCGGTCGATGAAAGTCTGTATTCTTGGATTCGCAGGTTCCAATCTACCTTGTCCCACTTCAAGGCCCGAGTGGCGTCGCATTTTCCGCCCTCCCAAGGGTGCGGACATAACCCAATATATTGCCACAAGCTTCCTACTTCGTGTTTCTACATACTTCTTCCGACAGATGGGCATGGGTGCACCTCAGCACACGGTGTTGGCCCCTGCTGGGGCCCACGCATGTTTGCTATGGAGATGCAGCCATGAAGGGCATGCGCTGAAGCCGCAGCGCCCCGGGACAACGTGGCCGCGGCCCCGCGCCCTCCCCCCCCCCCCCCCCCCCCCTCCACCTTGAGAGCGCCCCGCGCGCCGGCCCCGCGAACCAACCGCTCCGCGCGCACGCATATGCAAACGCAAAGCAATGCACGACCACGCGCACCCCCAGGCACAGCCGCCGCCAGCCCCCCGCCCCCCCCTCTTCCCCCCCCCCCCCCCCCCCCCCTGTCCCAACCCCGCCCGCCTCGCGCGCGCGCCGCCGTCGCAGCCTCCCTCCTCGCGCCCGCCCCAGCCCACCTCTCCAGAGGATGGGCCCAGTCGTGCTTGTTTTCTTGGTGTCGCGGGCGACGCCCGCTTGGCAGGCCCGCGACACGTTCATCGCGTCTCCTGCGGACTCGGCTTGGATCGCTGACGCAGGCCAGCTGTGTTCGAACACCTCCCATGCATTACCCCCTTGCACCCTTCCGCCCCCCCCCCCCCCTCTTCCCTGGCGCGACGGGGGCCCTGGGGCCTTGCGCATTGAAGCCGAGGGGGGGGGGGGGGGGGGGCATCAGTGCACGCGCGCAAGGTTCCGAGACAAGCGCAAGCCGCTGCGTTCCCGCGCACATGCGCGCCAGCGACTCCCTTATCCCATTCCACGCGCGCGCGCGCCACCCTCCCCCGAGCAACGTCGACCCATCAGGCGGCGCCTCCGCGGCTGGCGGGTGTCTGGCGGGCCCCGCCGCCGCTGCCGTGACTGGGCTGCTCCTCCCACGGGCCCCACCGTCGCCCGTCAACGTGGGGTTCGGGGCTGGCGACCCCGAGACGCGGTGCGCGGTGCGGAGCTTCGGCGCAGACGGCAGGCTGTTGTGGTCGAGCAGCGTCGTGGCCGTCAAGGCCCGTAGACGCGCAGATGGCGACGCAGGTAACGGCAGTGTAGGTGGTGTCATTGTCTGTGAGGCTGGTTCGTTGCCGAACCGATGTTTCAAATGCGTTGCCCAGGTTTGCGCGATGTGTTCGCGGGTTCCCACGGTTTCTCTTGCGCGACTTTAGCGTCGCAATCGAGGAACTCGCGACAATGCCAACACAGCCGTTGCCCAACATCGCCATCGGCGCGGCTTTCAAGAGGCCCCGCCGTGCATCCCAGCAGCCGGCGTTATTGGTTTCAGGCGTGCTTCAGCACGGAAGCCGTTCACCCTCCTTGGCGCTGACAGCGTTCGGCCCTTGTTCGCTTTGGATTGCGTTGCCAGTGCAGCGCAGGAGTTGCGCGCTGAGGGTTCCCAGGTGGACGTCCGCAGCAGGCGCGCGTGGGCGCGCGTGCCCCAGTGGCCGATGAGCGCCTTGCTGATCAGAGGCGCGTTTCGGCCAGTTTACTTGTGGGAAGGCGCCTGCAGGGAGACGGACGCCGTGCTTTTCAGGGAGGCCTTCGGGATGCGCGAGGCGGCCGCCGTTGCACCAGTGCATCCCGCCGCGCCGTCTGCATTCGACGTTCGGGGTTCGCCGCAGCTGGAGCTGCGATCGACCGCCATTGACATGGCGGCAGCGACGGCCAGCGCCTGCTACAACGCCCTCCAAGAGCATGGACAGCAACAGCACCGAGAGGAAGTGCTTGCGTCGCTGCGCTTCCTGGGGCACGCCTCTGACGCACTGCGGACCCACGGGGAAAACCAGCTGGATGGCACCAGGATCCATGCCGCATCCAAGATCTTGAATGCAGTAATGATCGCAACACGCTTGCACGGTTCTGCTCATTTGGGAGGCGTGCGAAGAAATTCCATCAGGCATTGCCTTTACAAATCGATTGCGGACCCTATCTTGGAGAACCTCACGTCGGGAGGTGTGGTGTCATCTTCTACCGTGCAGCGCTACTTCGTGGTGCTCGATGCTGCTTTGCTGCTGGCCGACCAGATGCGATTTGCAACTAACCCGCCGCCCGCTGAATATATGCCGTCGGACGCCAGCCCCCTGTTGGGCACAGACTGGCTGCTGACGGAGACGTTCGAGTGCAGTGATCCTGGAAGGGCGTGGGAGATTGCCCAACAGTTGATGTACCATCGGGGCGACGCGAGGCTGTCGTTGAGCGGGGACTTGCAGCCAGACGAGATGGACCCTGAAGATTTCCAGCACTACGACGCGGCGAGCCGCAAGGTTCGGGCTCTGTCGCAAGAGCTGGCCGCGATATGGGGCCACATAATGCTGACTGCCGTAGGCTTGGGGTCTCAGGCCACGGGCGTGATGGGCAAGATGCGCGCGATCGTCCACTCGTTTCGGCTGAGCTCACGCACCATGTTATCGTGTCAGCAGAGGGCCCAGCGAATCCTGTCCGCGACCACCGACATGGGGGCGGAAGCGGGGTTGAGCGCCCGAGCAGTCGACATGATGGATGTGTTTCCCCATTGGTTTGATTTTGATGTGGTCCCTGATGGCGGGGGGGCCGAGGCCATGGACGTCTACCAGGAAGGCTGTCCAACTGCAACGCCAGCTTTCGAGATTACAGTGGGCGACGGCCGCGCGCCCCCCGATCACACCGACATTGGAGGCGTGGCATTTGGCACCGCGTGCGACGACGGCGCCGTGCCGCGCGGGCCCGCCGACGCGGGCAGTGGCGGCGCGGCTTTCGCCGTCGTTCGCGACGACGGCGCGGCCGCCGACGCAGCCGCAGCTGGGCCCGAGACGCATGCGGGCGGAGAAGGTGATGCACCGACAGCATTCGTAGTGGAACCAGACGGCGGCGGCGGCGCGACCTTGGACATCGCCCATGTGGACGCGCCCAAGGTCGCAGACCCCCGTGGGGGCGCGCCAGGCGCAGGAACTACGCGTGATCGTGCGTTTTTTTGTTTCTCCTTCCACGGGTCCCTACAAGTGGCTGGTGCGTTGCACATCACCAGCAATGCCCCCCAAGATGTCCTGAAGGCTTTCGCGCACATGGAGTGGTATTTGAAACGGGCGAAGCCGCTGATCCTTTGCTCTGCGACCGTGTCACCAAGGAGCGGTTAATCGAGCGCTGTTTCAAGGCCCCCGAGGCCGAGGGCCACCAGAAGGCCTTGAGGGAGATGCGGACGAAGCCAACGGAGTGGCGCTTCGGGCCCTGGGTGCCAGCGCTGCAGCAGATGCAGTTCACTGAGGCTGGGATGAGGGCGCACTGGGACCTGCGCAAGTACAATGCGCGCCCAGGGGGGCAACCGCCCCGCGCGGCTGGGCGCGGACATGGGCGAGAGCAGGGCGCAGCGCCCACCCGCCGAAGATGGCGGAGATGCCGCGGAGGCCGACCTGCACCTGATCGACAAGGCAACGGGCCCAGGGATTGCAAACGCTTGTCGGGGTAGAGTGAGCATTGGCCGCTCGACGGGGCCTGCGCCTGAGCGCGCGCAGGCTAGATAGCGGAGGCCTGACGGGCCGACGCAAACCGTTGGATGTTCTCGTGCGAAACGCCAGGTCTTTCGGTCACGATTGTTGAGATAGTCCAGTGCGAAACGCCTGCGCCATGCCACATCATCATACCATCATATCATTATCGTATCATTATCCCCGCCTCCCCCGCCATCGCCATCGCCCTTGTCGTCGTCGCCGTCGTCGTCGATCGTCCGCCTCCCTCTCAGTCCCCTCCTTCTCCTTCTGCGCGCTCCAGCTCCAGCCCCCGTTCCCGCGAACCCATTCGGCGAGGATGGGAAAACATACTGCGCGCAGGGGTCCTCAGACCATAGCCCACGCCAGCCGAGGACCCCGCGTGGGAGCTTTGGAGCTCGCGCAGCAGGAAGCTGCAGGCGTCGCCGGAGGGCCGGAGGGGGGCACCTCGTTTCCCCCCTTTTTCCTCCTCCTCCTCCTCCTCCTCATCCTCCTCCTCCTCCTCCTCCTCTCCTCCTCCTCCCCCCCGTGTCGTCGTCCTCCTTCTCTTCCCCACTCCCCATGTCCTTTTCGCTCATCTTCCTTCTCCCTCCTCCTCCTCGCCCTCCTCCTTCACTTCTCCCCCTCCTCCTCTTTTCCTCCCCTTCTCCTCCTCCTCCTC